GAATAAACTATATTCTAATATTTTCTTTACTTAACTTGTGAAGGAAGGAATGAATCACAGGGGACCTTTTACGATCTGTTTAAGTTTCCATTGATTCTATCTCATATCCCTTTCTAGCAAACTTGTCTACTTCCTCATTTCCCAGGGGCGAGTAAAAGTTTATAATAGGTTGTCGAAGAGCGTGTAAGTATATTCGGCTTTGCTGAGCACATAACGAATTCGTTGTTACCGGCCCTACGGCTTTGATGGCAGCTTGACCACAAGTAGTATCTTGTGTCCACAACTAGTATCTTGAAATACAGCTTTGGAAGTGTTGAAATATAGCTGGTGGTTTTTGCACTTTAAGATCTCAACGGATTTCGCATGCGATTTCTCAGTCTAATTCTGTCCGGGTATAATACAAATTTGTTTAATAAATAAATAGTTGGCGCTCACATTTTCGCCGAGATTCCCCTCCATTTTTTTTGCACGTCTTGATGTTGTTTCGCAAATGGAGGTACTTACAATTTTACGCCGAACCCTAGATCCTACAGAATGGTAGTACTCCCCTCTAACCATTTGGCTACATCATTTGCCTATAATTGAGGCAGGTGTAAAATACCTTGCTTACTTCTTAGTGGTAAGCTTACCGTGGCATTGAGTAACTTGCATATCAATCCGTTCACTCCCTTGAATTTATTTGGATCCTGGTCCCTAGTGAATTCGACTCGACGTAGAGTTTCCTGACTACATGATGGTGTCCTAAAAGGCTTAGACGGAACCTTCCATAGAAGTGCTTCCAGCTATTAATTTTGGCTGTCCTAATTTTTTCATCATAGGCAACCGGTCTTGCCGGCTTAAAGAGTTCCTTGACGTTTAAATCATGGTCGAGGCCCTGAAGTTGCGCAGGATTTAAGATAGCCAATAGCGTATGAGAAGTTAAGACTTTTCTCTGGCTCAATATCTTCATTGCAAGTTATTTCAGTTTTTCTTAAATTTCTTATAGAGGTACTGGAATTCCTAAAAACCTTGTTATTGCGTGGGAATTTAAACGATGTTGTAAAGCATGTGAAACCTTGATTAGAGAAAGACCGTTGCTCTAGCACCATACAAAACATATCAAAGAATGGGCGCACCACAAAACGGGTTATTTTCCAACCCATTCTCATTGCGCCACTAAGTTGGCCTAGTAAAGCACTAGTGGCAAGAATGTAAAGCAAAGGAGTCAAACATCAAAGCCAAGCTGCCCAAAAAACAGCTTCTTTATGATCCTTTATGTATTTGTTCACGATGGCTTAAACATCTCTATTAGAAATTTTGGTGGTGAACAAAATTTTTCTAGGCGGACCAGCTCTGAACCAGAAATTTTTTTACTACTGTAGGCTTTTCCTGCAGGGTGTGGATATTTGTGGAGGGTGTGTGTAGAAGTATCTATCTAGCGGATATAACAAAACGGCAGCAGCGATACTACATCCCAGATATCAAATCACCACAAATAAGGTTGCATAACCGACTCGCTCGCATTAGCAGCCGCCGGACGCCTCCACCTCCTTCGACACTGCCATCGACAACTATCGACTAACGAGCGCACCGATTCGCACCTTCACCGCAATTGGAAGAAATAATTTACACATTTAAATGAACATTAAGAATTCTTATTTTGTAGTATGGCTTGTCCGTCTGTGAGGTAAGTGCGACAAATGGCAACCAACAAGAAAACGTTTGAAACGCACTCTCCGCGAGGGTAGGTCCACATCACTGGCATTGAAGCATGTGATGATTCGCAAGAGTATGCGATTAAAGGCTTGCACGTGACAGCGACAAGTACGGAGAGTGGAAATATGTATTGGCCTGCAAAAGCAAAGAAAAAATGGCAAAGCAATAACTTGACAGATGCGAAATGAAATATAGAAGAAATGCAAAACGCTAAACTTGCTTACAAAGTGGTGCAATAATGCGGAGAATAGTATTTATGGGAGCAAGTTAGAGCGAGTGTAGTGTGACGCAACGAAGTGGCAACACAGATGAGGCGGTCAAGTGCAACAAAACACAACAGATGACTCAATTTGCTGCATTCCATAGTCAATATGACAAAACATGAGTACATATTTTCATATGAAAATCGTAAAAAATATTCCTTCAATGAATTTGTATACAATGTTGGCGATTACCATTACATTTTTCACGCGCTGTTGTTAATTGTGCTGTTATTGGTTGTTTTGTGGCTTTTTTGCTATCGAATGACAACTGGACGTTAAATTTTTCCAACCATGCAACAACTTTATTTGCGTATATTACTTAAAAGAGTATACATATACTAATTTGAACATAGATGCACAAAAACATTACATACATATGTATGTATGTATATGAGTGCATACTTGAATTCAGGTGCTAGTTTGTGTTTTTTTTTATTTTATGCCTAGCGTATCGCACACTCACGGGATGATGTAAACAAGTGTTTGGCACTTGACAATCTGGGAGCTATTCAAGTGAAGCACTATTTTATGCATTTATTTATATACATGCATATATTTTTACATTAGAGTGGTGCAATTTTTGTATGGGGGAAAAAAATTTCATCCTATAAAACTTAGTTTTTTCCTTTTGATATTTGTAATATCTATACCAGCTTTCAGCTTGCTACTGCAACCAATACAGGGTGCTCAGTGACCTTGAAACTTGTAAAATATTGGTGATTTTTATAAAAAGCTACTTTTGCCATGACAACTGAAGCTTGTGATGTTTTAATAGATAATTTAAATTAGGAATGTTCTCAGGTTACTTAACCAATTGTTTGATTAATATATGTACACAATACTTCTAGAGTAAAATATGAGCATCATGAGGATCCTCTAAATTTATACTTAGAAACGTAAGGTTTTATACCAGCACGTCTTTCGGCAAGAGGAAAAATTTTGGAAGGTACCCCAACCCCTATCTCGAAAATCCCCTTTTTTTGAGTTCTGTTTGGTAATAGCAAAAATATTGTTCATAATGCTCTAGGAACAATCTGTGTGAATGATGAAAATTTTTGGCCAATATCTTAGGCTAGCCAAGCTAATGTACATACATACATATGTAAATGCAAATGGAGCATTCCATTAGTTTAAAATATTAGATTTTTTTGTGTTATAGTACCAACTAAGAGACGCACCCTGCTTTTTTCAATTTTTTGTCCATCCAGATATATTAAATTTTTGAAAAAAGCGTTCCCTTTTTCACTATCCATAACTTTGCGAAAAACTGGACCATTGGGTCCATTTTTTAATTGAAATTTTTCATTCCAAAAAAAAACAATTTTGGAATATGAAACCAAAAAAAAAATCAAAACCGAATTTCTTTAAAATTTTCAATTTTTTTTTAATATAAAACTAAGAAATACCAGGCGTACTTCACTGCGCCCTAAAACATTTTTGTATTGTTACTCCCTCCCAAGACACGTATGTCCTCATTCAAAAAAAATAAAATATATTTAAAGAGCTTTATGAAGGGATATTTCGAAAAAAAAGTTTCGATTTATGAAGGATTTTTTTTTTTTATGAATGTGGATTTTAGTTTAGAAAATAGGCTTTTCCTGCAAACTTAATTCATATTCGACTATATTTGCCCTATCTTATCAATTTCACTGAATTATATTTTTCAAATAGGCGGCAACCCTCCTGAAAAATATTTTCTACAGTAAACTTATTTAAACCTCTTTAGTTTGATACCCGTATTGTTTTATTTCATTCTTTTTATCAATTTTGTAAAATACAATTTTTCAAGCAGGTGTTAACCCTCATCAAAAATATTTTTGGCAACAGTCTTTCCTAAACCTCTTTAGTTTGATACCCATATTGCAAAATTTAATTTAACTTATCAATTAATTTATATTAAAATTTGCAAACAGGTGGCAACCTTCCCCAAAAATATTTTAGACTGTTAGCTTTATATATACTTTATCTTATCAATTTACTTAAACTGCAATTTTCAAACTGGTGGTAACTCTCTAAGTTTTCCCTGCTTCGAAACCGAAGTGTACAAAAATTCGAGATAACGAAGATTAATGGAAAACTAGCAAATTTTGTTGAACTCAACGCCCGAAACTCTCACTGGCGTCAAATTAAATGCATTACATTAAAATACACACTGTTCCAAGAAACGAAACCAGAAATATTTTAAAATTGTCGGAAATTACAATTTTATCAAATATAATACGACGAATAATTATAAAATTATTAAATTAGAAGAATAACCTGGTTACTTGTGAACCGCTAAGGTTCCAATCAAGAAAACACAATACACATTTTAAAACGATATAAGCAAGATTTAATAAGAAATAAAGATTTGAAGTCAATAAGACGTACATAAGCATAGCAGAAACTTTTGCGTGTGGTTCTGGGCCTCAGCGGTATTACCATAGTGTATCAGTGGCACAACGTTGGACACAGCAATTTGAAGTTAACACACTAAAAGATATATATTGAAAGCAGGGGAATAACCTAGCGGTGGTTTACTATAAACCGGTCAACCTACCAAAATCCGCCCCTCCCCCTCCCAAAAAAAGTTTTATTAAACGTTTGGTAATTCGTACATGGCGTATGAGTAACATTATTTCCTGCTCGTATTTTGCAGAAGAAAAAAAATTAATTTACCATCCCATCGGCCCATTTTTCGCAAAGCTATGGGCATTTAAAAAAATAAATTTTTTTTTAAGATTTTTTTTAAGATTTTGTTTTTAATTCATATCCCGAAACAGCTGAACAAAAGAATTTACATCCTATCAAAAAAAAATTAAAAAAATCAGAGATGCAAAACCTAAATGGTGCCCGAATTGGGCTGGAATGCCCCATATGTAAATGTTAAAGCTTATGCATGTGTGCATACATACATATGTAAATATACAATTTATTTGCAAGGTTATTGTATAACGGTTTCACACTCAACTTATTTTCTACAAATTGATTTTTCCCATACACTGCCTAAATAATTTATTTCAATTTACTTACATTCATTTTGTTCGTTTTCACTTTTGACAGGCCTGCAAAAATCATGTTAAACCCACTGTACCTGAAGACCATTATAAAGCAGTTTGCCGCGCGCTGGTGACTGAAGCAATTGAATTGCGAATATTCCTGCAGCAGGTCTTAAATGACGGTAAGTGAGACATCTCATTTATTACGAAGAGTTTCAGATTTAGTGCCGTTTGTAGCAGCACATACTTACATATATAAGCAAATCCGAAAAAAAATTGTTTGCTGCAAAATTCGATATCCATATCTCCTTATTAATTTCCCTTTGGCCTAAAGAGCATACACCCTCACCTGAAATGAAAAAAAACGTAACTAAATTCGTCACTGAAATGCAAAAGTCATTACTAATAAAAAATCACTTTTTGATTGATTCGATACATTTCATCGAATTACAACTCCCCGCATCGTTTTATGCAAAAAAAAGATAAGTCGCTACAAAATATTTGACTTCAGTGACGAAAACCATGTAGGATCCTAATATTTTTTGCCGATGCAAGCCACGCACAGAGAAGTATTTGCATAGTAAAACCGGTCAAAATTTAATGATGTGGATTTCTGCTCAGTAATAAAATAAAACGAGGAACTTAATCATAATTAGTGGTTTATTGGAGAAAAGAGTAATTACACCCATCTTAGGATGATTTTCGTGACATATCTATGCATCAGTTACCTGACAATGAGAAAAAAGTCAGCTAAATCTATTTCTCTCAACACAAGACTGGGTAACTATAACCAAAGAATGTAACTATAACCAAATCGCATGTTGAGAGAAACATATTTAGTTGACGTAACTCAACTCAACTCAAAAAATTGTTATTATACAAATACATCTCTGTGCGATGTGAAATTGAACTTTTGGTTAAGAAGTTGCACTACAAAATAAAAACAACACAAAACAAATGCAGTTTGGTTTAGACTTTAGCAGTTATTCATTTTAAAAAAATATATATACCACTTCATAATTTTTTTTTACTAATTTTATTCTTTTTCTACTTATTCTAAGGTGCCGACAATCTCCATCTAGAAGTTGATTCACAAACATCCAAACAAGAGTTGGCCAAGCTAGGCTTCAACGATTGGGTAAGTTTTAAATGGTTGTTATTAAAAATGGAGAGTTTCTTGGTGTATCAATTTTCTTCATAAGACTAGCGAGAAAGCTATGGTCTGAATAACAGCAGCCGTGATAAAATGAAACTCGCTTCGAAATTTAATTTTTAGATGACTGCACTCGAAAAGAATCCGGTCCTTAAATTTAAACTGTATTGAAGAGCAAGCAACTGGCATTTTGTTCTATTTTATTCGATTCGAAATCATCATTCGATCACGCTTGTTGTGATTCGGGCCCAGATTTTTTTACCTCCAACCCTACTGTTCAAAAGTAACAGAACAGACCCCATCATAAAATCGCTTGGAAAGAGGAGCTATTCTACTGCTGGAAAAGTTTTTCTGCGGCACAGAATTAATAATAAATGTTGCCTGTTGCTAGATTAGTACTTACTGATAAGATCTTAGCTTGCATGCCATTAAAAATTAATTTGTCCTTAGAGTAAAAAAGGCTTAATCGGGTATATTGTTTAAGGAACTGGAATTTTTCTCTCAACACAGTTTTCTCTAACTGGTACTAAGTTAAAAATATTTCATTCACATATGTATGTAATTATCTCCTGAGAGAAATTATTATACTTCAAGGTAAAGCACAGTGGTGCCACTTGTATGGCACCGTTTTCTCTGAAACTAAACGAGATTTCGCAATGAAGCTTGGTACACTCGTTGCTCCTTGTCCAGGCTATGTTAGTGTTAAAACTACGCCAGCCTTCCATATAACGGTATTTGGGAAATTGGACTCAAATTGCTAAAAATGTATATGTATGTAGAGGGAATTTTAAGAAAAAAATTTGTTTTTCAAAAATTTTGAAAAATGGTAAATTTTACTTAAGTATGTTTAAATATGTATAAAAATCACGCTTTCCTCCATATAATGGTATTTTAGAAAGATTCAGTTTCTGAGATATTTCACTACGCGATTATGCTAAATTGTTCACGTTTTTATTCAGAGAAATATGTCAAAAGAAAATTTGATTTCTTTAATAAATACATAGATTATCTGTGTGTTGGTGTTGGTTGCTCCAAAATAAAACATAGATTATCTCCTTAAGTGGTCATTTGTGGCTTCTAGGCAGTGTTGCCAGATTTTCTTTTTGGAAAAACTGTATTTTCGTCCAAAAAACTGTAACCTTCAAATAACGACGAGAGTTTTTAAAAAATTTAGGTTTTTTTATTTTATAAAACATAAATAATAAAAACGATTCATTTAAAGTAAAATAACAGAAAGCGTTTAAATTTTACTTAACTAAACAAAAATGGGCCGCTTTCCTCCTTTTCGTGAAGTCGGTTAAAAATTATTAGGGCAATGTGCGCACTTTGTAGCTGTTTATAAAAAGGTAGTCATTTTTTTATCATAATGAGTAATGACAGTGGCAAAAAAGGACAATGATTATTTTATGGCGGGACCACTGGAAAGATTTCACGCGTTCATCATACGCCCCGGTAACCACTAAAATGAATGTGTCTGCGAGCAAGCTGTAACCCGTTTTTTCAGAGTATTCTGAATTCTAGAGAAATTTTAAATTTTAATTTTAAATTCAATGAAATTTCGGAAGAAAATCGGTAAAGAAATGAAAATAATTCTGCTATGTGAAGAATTTCTTGCAACATTTTTTCAGAAGTTTCTTTATTTTTCGCACAGAAATTTCTCTACGAGTTCGTGTCAACCGCTTCATATAATTTTCTTTGAAGATTCGTAAAAAATTTCGTTACAGAAATGAGATTCCTTAAGATTTCGTTAAGATTTCGGGAACTTTGGTTTGCAGGGAAAATAAGATTTAATTACATAGTCGATTTGAGTGAAACAAATGGGATTCTTTAAAGAATGATAGGGTCTTTTTAATTGTGTTTGTCAGAATATTTTAATTTACATCTTATCCACCCAATACTATAATTATATGAAAAATCATGAAAAATAATTATTCAAATGGTCAAACATATAAAAATTCTAACGATTCTTTAGAATTCTGCACAATAAAGTGGCGAATGGTATTTCCAAAAATGAGTCTGATATACTCCGAAAAGATGCGCTGAATTAACTAATTTAACTCGTGTTATATCTACTACCAACGAAAACTGATTTCTAAACCACAATATTACATACTCGTTTCTCCAAATTACTTTCGCTTTTACTTTGTCAGAATGCAAATCTAGATTTATAGTCGATTTCGTTAAAAAGTTTCTAATAGCATGAGGTAAGCATTTTTTATACTCATATCTTGGCCAAAAATATTTTTACATGTGAGTGTTATTAGGTTTGCATATATCTACATAAGGGTGGCTCAATTTATATGGGAGATTTTTTCGACTATGCGCGTGTAGCACAGACGGATTTTACGTGTAGCGTTATAAGCAAATTGTGCGAAGAAACCATGTGTCTAAAATTAATTTGGAGTTTTCCAAATTGCGAAAATAGGTTCCTTAGCATTTTGCGGTAGTGTCGTAAAAAAGTGCTTAAATTAAAAAAAAAGCATGCTATAAAGTATTTTTTGTTATGAGGAATCCATTTCTGCTCTTATCTTTTTCCTAAAACTTCAACCCGAGGGCGCAACAGTGAAATTTTCCACTTTTCTTCGAAGCCTGTTTTCGCAATGTGGGAAACTCCAAATGGATTTTAGACGCATGCTTTCTTCGGAAAATTTGCTTATAATTACACGTAGAATCCTCCTATGCTATACGCGCATAGTCAAAAAAATTGACTTGCCCTAATGTATATATGTATATGCATATGTAAATATAAACAAGTGTGAATGCACTTACACTCACCACCACAATTACATAAAAATTAGTATTATTGTTTTACTGTCCACCTTTATGATTCTCGTTTAATTTGTGTATGTTATTACTCGCTTTTTAAATGCATGAACATTCATTTGGTTATATAACGCTTTCTTTTCTAAGACTAACTCTTGGCTATTCGCATTGTTTAACTGTCTCAAATGATAATTTACAAATGTAATGCACGATTTGTTGGTAGCGTGCATATAACCTGACACCAAATCTGCTCTTTTATAGACTTTACAGGTCTGTTTCATTACTTCATAATGAAGACTAAAATGAAATGATCAATCAAATAAACTCTATAGTGCAAATGTATATGAAAATTACGAAGAAATGTGAAATTACTAGAAACCTAGGTACTTATACATATGTATGTACATACCCTGCACAAAATTGTGCGACTAATCTCTAAAGAGAGTATTCCGAGATTACTCTCAAGCGGGTACAATTCAGCATTAATTAGTCGCAACTAGTCTCATACGGGTGCTAATGGAGGTCAGTTAGCCTCGACTCATCCCTTATGGGTATAATTGGAGATAAATTAGTCCCCAACTCATCTCTAACGGGTACTATTAACGATTTAATGATATGATCGCACTAGTCAATGAAATTCCATGTGCGGCGTTGGCACGCAGAGAGAGTATTCGCCTAACAAAATTGAGCACCCCGGTTCGAATCTCAGATGGCGCAAATTTTTATGTTTATTTTTAAAAGTGACTAGTCGCTTTGTATGNTAGTCCCCAACTCATCTCTAACGGGTACTATTAACGATTTAATGATATGATCGCACTAGTCAATGAAATTCCATGTGCGGCGTTGGCACGCAGAGAGAGTATTCGCCTAACAAAATTGAGCACCCCGGTTCGAATCTCAGATGGCGCAAATTTTTATGTTTATTTTTAAAAGTGACTAGTCGCTTTGTATGACCGTTCGGGTATAAAGGTGAACAATTAGTCTCTTCATAGGACATGCTCGAACAAAAGCGAACAGTTCAATCCATATAAAGAGATCAAAAGTGGTATTAGTCGCATGCTCCTTTGCGATTGCTCCCGGAGTCATCCCGGATTAGTCCCATTTTTTGCAGGGTATGTACATATTAGAGGGCTGCATGAATTCATTCAAACTTCTAGCCAAACAGAGTACAGTAGTTTTGAATATTCTACTTCACATAAAAAACACTCAGCGTTTGGAATTTTGTAACATAGAAAAAATATTTTTGGATATTCATACAAAAAATTGTTATTTCCCAATAAACATTGGGATTGGTTAACAATTCGAAAATGATTGGAAAACCAATATTTTTTTCGAGCCTCACCTTCAATAACTAATGTGGCATAGATTAGTATTCGATTCGAAAACTAGGCCATTCTCCATCAAAGCAGAACCTTCGTTATCCAATGTATTTTTCCTTCGTTATGAATTCGAAATACCGCCCATTGTCGAATTGAAAATTTAATTAGAGAGAGTTTAATTATAAGTTCGTTCTCAGTGCAATATGCATATTGGATAGCGAAGGTCATTTTCGAGCGTTCGAATTCATGCAGCTCTCTAGTACATACATATGCATGTACCTACTTATCGCAAATGTTCTTTAAAAGTGCATCAAATAAAAATTCCTCATTTGCCAGAAAATGCCAAAAACGATTTCAGAACTCAAGTTAATCAAGTGGGGAAACGAAGTTTCAGTATTGCTTTCTTTTGCAACAATTAATAAAACATATTGCTATAATATAAAAAAAATTTAATTAAATGCAATCTTTAAAAGAAAATAAAAACTGAAAAAATATCAAGAAATCGAATAATAAAATTTGCAGAGGGGGGCAATTTCCACTTCGTAGGATATCGCCATGTAAAAAGATACAGTTGAATGCAATGCGTTGGGATAGATCGAGAATCATTACCGCCTCTTAATGAGCTAGTTCTGCGCTAGTTTTGAACTAGCGCGATTTACTGCAGGATATGTACATATATTATACATATGTATGTATATGCACATACATATGTGGTTATATATTGCATTCGAGCATACCTATGTATGTATGTATCTATTTTAAACTTTTAACAGCTCAAGTGGCATTTTCAATTGAATTATTTAACCGAACCAAAAAAAAAATAAATAATTGTCTTTTGTGTTATACACACTTTTGCTTATGTCGCTTTAACTGTCAATTAACCATGAAAAATGGTGTCCGATC